AGGCAAGAGACTCGCTTGAGCCCAGGAGTTGGAGGTTGCTGTGAGCTGTAATGCCACGGCACTCTGCCCAGGGGGACAGCTTGAGGCTCTGTCTCACAAAAAAAAAAAAAAGAAAAGTCTGAAAGGATATACTCCAAATCTCAACAGTTATCTGTGGGTAGCAGGATTAGTGGTAAGGGTTTTTTCCATGTTATAAATTGTGTTAAAATACATATAACAAAACTTAACCATTTTAAGTGTACAGTTCAGTGATATTAAATACGTTCCTAATATTATGACATTGTCACCACCATCCATTTTGTAAAACAGAAACTCTGTACCCATTACATCAGGCGTCCTTAAACTACAACCCACTTAGGACATTTATCCTGCCCGCCGGGTGTTTTTGCCACCACTGCCTGTCCTGTCCCAGGGCCCGCAGTCCGGCCCTCCAACGGTCTGAGGGATGGTGGACTGGCCCCTTGTTTAAAAAGTTTGAGGACCCCTGCATTACATAGTAACTCCCCATTTTCTCTTCCCCCAGCCCCTGGCAACCACCATTCTACTGTCTCCATGATTTTGATTACTAAAATACCTCGTGTATGTGCAATCATACAGTATTTACTTTTTTGTGACTGCTTATTTCACTTAGTATCCGGGTTGCAACATATGTGAGAATTTCCTTCTTAGGGCTGAATAATATTGCATTGTAGCAGATATGGCATTTAGCTTATCCATTTATCTACTGATAATCACGTGTTGCTTCCACATGTTAGCTGTCATGAATAATGCTACTGTGAACATCTGTGCACAATATCTCTCTGAGTAGATTAGGGGTAAGTTTTATTTCTTCCTTTTGTTTAATTTTATTTTTTAAAAGTAACCTTTTTAAAAAACTGTCATTTCTATTTACCAAAAGAAAGAATGAGAAAGAACCTCAGACTAAAAGGGGGAGATAATTTAGGAAAGACTTAAAAATCTGAATAACTGATAGAAAAATGTGAACACTAGCTCTATTTTTCTTTTTAAAAATATTATAATGGTAAACTCTGGATAAAATGATAAAATTTACCATCTTAAGTATACACTTCTTAGCGTTAAGCACATTTACACTGTTATGTAACCAATCTCCAGAACTCTGTTCATCTTGCAAAACTGAATCCCACTAAACAATAGTTCACCATTTCCCCCTCCTCCATCCCTTGGATTCTAATTTCTGTCCCCATGAATCTGACAGCTTTAGGTACCTCATATAAGTAGGACTATACAGTATTTGTTTTTTTGTGTGATGGTTGGCTTATTTCACTTAACATAATATCCTCATGGTTCATCCATATTGTAGAATATATCAGAATTCCTAGTTTTTAAGGCTGAATAATATTTTATCATAGGCTATATACCACATTTTGTTTATCTATTCAGCCACCACCAGTGGATACTTGGGTTGCTTCTGTCTTTTGGCTATTGTGAATAAAGCTGTTATGACCATAGGTATACAAATATTTCTTCAAGATCTTTCTTTTTTTTTTTTTTTTTGCAGTTTTTGGCCGAGTTTGAACCCGCCACCTCTAGTATATGGGGCCTGCGTCCTACTCCTTTGAGCCACAGGCAAGCGCTGCCCCAAGATCTTGCAATTCTTTTAGGGATATATATAGAAATGGAATTGCTGGCCATACAGTAATGCTATTTTTAACTGTTTGAGGAGCTGCCATGCTGTCTTCTATAGTGGCTGCATGATTTTACATTCCCACCAACAGTGCACAAGGATTCCAGTTTCTCTACAACCTCTTCAAAACTTCTTGTTTTTTTTTATAGTAACCTTTTTAGTGAGTATGAAGTGGTAGGTATCTTATTGTGATTTTGATCTGCATTTTCTAGTAATTAGTGATGTTGAACATCTTTTATATGTTTATTGTCCATTTGTATCTTCATCTTCTTTGTATGCCATCTTTGGAGAAATGCCTTTTGAAGTCTGTATGAGTCAAGGTTCTCCAGACAAACAGAATAGAATGTGTGTATGTATGCATGTATACTTATATGTGTACATACGGCACACATATACACACGTACATATATATGTATATGTGGAAGGGGAGAGAGTAGGGGGAGAGAGAGAGAGAGAAACTGATTTTAAAGAATTGGCTCATGTTATTGTGACAGCTGGCAAGTCCAGAATCTTCAGGCTGATGCTATGGAAGGGTTGATGTTGTCTGCCGGCAGAATTCCCTCCTCCTCAAGGGGAAATCAATCTTCTTTTTGAGGCTTTGAACTGATTGAATAAGGCTCGCCCACATTACAGACCTTTATTCAAGGTCTATAGACTTAAATATTAATCTCATCTTAAAAAAACCTTCACAATAATATCCCAATATAGGTCAAATGACGATGGCCTAGCCAAGTTGACAGATAGGAGTAACCATCACAAAGTCCTCTGATTTTTAGTCATTGAGATGTATGAGTTCTACATATATCCTGGATATTAACCATTAATGATCTGCAAATATTGTTTTCTCAGATTCCATAGGTTGCTTTTTCACTCTGTAGATTGTGCCCTTTGATGCACAAAGGTTTTAAAATTGGATGTAGTCCATACTCTACTTTTCGTTCCTACTTTTGAGCGTAAATAGTCATTTTTCCCTGGGCCAGAGTTGGTAGATAGGCCATGGAAAATACAGAGAGAAAGCAAAAGCCATCCATTGGCTTACCTCATGAAAGGGTATCTCCAAAGTTTGGAGACGAAGGTCAACCTTGTGGTAGGTATCCAGGCAGGGCAAAAAAAAGAAAAGACCTAGAAGAGGCGGGTGGGGAAGTGACGGGTGAATAGCTAGCATGGAGATGTCTGGGGTTCATTTTTTCAGGGTGAGGTTGTATACTGCATTGCTTTTCTTAGCCTCCAACTACACACAGACCATTGGGCAACCCCACCTCCACTCTTACAATGTCTTTTTTGTAGCTAAGGTTACCATATAATGTGTTGCTAAATCTGGGGTACTTCTGAGGGTAAAGAAGAGTACTGTTACAACTTAATCCAGAAATGTAAAAGGGATTATCCTCAACAGACCAAGCTGTGCAGCCATTTTACTTAGTTATTTTTGGTTTTTGAGATAAAGTCTTATTCTTTCACCCAGGGCAGAGTGAGGTGGTGTCACAGCTCAAAGCAACCTCAAACTCTTGGGCTCAAATGATCCTCTTGCCTCAGCCACCCAAACAGCTGGAACTATAGGCACCTGCCACAGTGCCAGGATAATTTTTCTATTTCACTCTTGTTTAGGCTGGTCTAGAACTCAAGAGTTCAACCAATCCACCCTGTTCAGCCTCCCAGAGTGCTAGGATTACAGGTGTGAGCCACTGTGCCCAACCCTGTGTGATCACTTTAGTCATGGTGTTGAGCCCTCCAGATCTTAGTTGTATGTCTGTCCCTTCTCTAGGAGTTCTCTTGAGTGTCCTATATACTATTATTAGTGTCTGAACTAGCACCTTTTAGGCCCTCTTTAAAATTGCTTTTAAATTCATGAATATATAGATAGGTATCAAATATTAGAGCCAGCAACTTCTGTGTGGTATTTCCTAAAATGTGAACCTCACTTTATGACGAGCCTGGGCAACATAGTGAGAACTCCATCTCTATAAAAAATAAGAAAAAATTAGCTGGCCATGGTGGTACATGCCTGTAAGTCCCAGCTACTCAGGATGCTGAAGCAGGAGGATCACTCGAGGTCAGGAGTTCGAGGCTACAATAAGCTATGATCAGGCCACTGCACTACAGCCTGGGTGATAGAGCAAGATCTCATCCCTTAGGCAAAAAAAGTGAACTCCAGAATTAATCAGAATAGCAATATCATGATGCCTGCCTTCGGGTTGGCTAGTTAGTCCTTACCCACCCAATGTGTAATGAACATTTAGTTGCTGAGGAGAGCCCATTGGTTGCTGTGGGCTTCTATAAGAGCCAAAGCTTTGTTGAAAGAAGCAGTGCCTTACACAGCCCAGGATCTAAGGAGCAGCCCAGCTACTAGCCTTTCTTGGCCCCACTCAAGAAGGTTCCAATAAACCAGGGCCAGAACAAGATGTCCATGTCTCAGAACTACAGAGTCTGGTTCCACTTTTTTTAAAATTAAGTCATATACACATAGATCATGTATACATTAGTGTGTTTATGGGGTACAATGTGCTGATTTTGTATACAATTTGGAATGCTTAGATCAAATTAGTTAATAAAGGGTTTCATCTCATTGACTTAATTATTGTGTTAAGACAATTATATTCTATACTTAATACATTTGATATGTTGTTTGGACCCACCTATTGGTTCCGAATATTCATACTCTTGATTTATGTTTCTTAGTCTGGTCTCTTTTATCTACTGGGTTCTACAGGCCTGGCTTTGGAACCTAGACCTTCTCTAATATATATGCACAGTGGGACTTTGCTCCTTTCATACCTTACTGACTGGCTTGGATCTCCAGAGTGCAACTACTAGACTTTTCAGACTAACCATAGTACTATGTGTGCCCCATTAATAGCTTAGACTTCTGGACAGCAACTCCACTAGATTTTAAGGTCCTGGAGATGCCTTATTCCTGCCGATGCCTTAGTCCTCCATATTTGTATCTATGATAATACAGTCTCTGAAACACAAGAAGTGCTCAGTCTATGTTTCTTAAACCCCACCAATGAAAGACCAAGTTGTTACTTAGATGCTGAACTTTGCCTGTCTCTCATGATTTGGTCTTGACTCCTTGGTTTCTGAAGTAGCTCAGCTTTTCTCTGAGTATCACAGGATTCTGATCATACACACATTGTATTCAAACCAATCTCCAGTCGAGGGTCCTAAACTGACTTGCTATTCCAGCCAGCCTGGCCCTAGCATTTGGGCTCTCATTCTTTCTCTTGGCCACCTGTGACCTGGGAGTAACGCTCTCTGGAGAATTTCTTAATAACTTGTATTCTAAGTAACGCAATGGAAAATGCAGATATCATGAATCAAGTCACCTCATGTAATCTGAGGTCTAGATCACAAATATGTATGGATTGAAGAAACTGGCAAGTCAGGAGGCGGCGTGTTAAAAGATAAAAAAGTGTTTCTTACCAGGGCCTTTGGCTCTTCCAGGAAGCAGATGTCCCAGTCGGAATATAATTACTCTTTCATACTCCTGTACAACCTAAAGAGAGATTTAATACTTTTAAATTATTTGTTTTGAGAACTAAGAAAAAAATTTATATTAATACTTAAAGTTCCAAAATCTATACTTAGTAAAAGTAGAATCTGAGAAACCAATAAAAATATAATGGTCATGTTTTAGCCCATGCATGGAATTTTGATTAAAGACTCGTGATTATCTAAAAACTAATGCTTACACCATGGCCAACTTTCCCCAAATCAAAGAAATCTCATCAGGACAGGTTTAATCTCATATTTTTCTATGACTTCTGCCTTATTTGGGTGTGCATATATATGTATGTGCATGTATGTATGTGAATATACATACAGAAAGAGGGAATATATTTTAACAGTCATATGCCAAAGGTGGGGGCAGTCAGGGACAGTTTGTTTTCCCATGTCTTTGATACCTCCCCAGTGATTTGTGACTGTTTAATACGACTTGTGATATTTTATTAATTATTTCAAACTGAGTTTTTTCTCAGGCTGCTTCAAAATCACTCTGTTCGATTTTAATTTGTCAGTTCTCATTGGTGATAGATCTAGAAAAATTGGGTGTGCACTGAAAATGTGTAGAGGTATTTTTAAGTGACACAAATAAAGATTCTCTACGTAGTAAAGTCTGTCTATTAGAAGAGAAATAGGAAAGCTCCTGCACACCACTTTAAAAATAAACCCTACTTTCTGGCCCAGTATCAAAACCTGAGTTCTACTGCTTGTTTATCATTAATTTTGCTGGTCTGTTTATATATATATTATTGCACCAGACTATGAACTCCTCAGTGGTATGGAATTATTTCTTCTCAATACCTGATACAGAGTAAATACTCAATACTGAATCAAAGAAGGAATTATTTGTGACTGTAAACAGTCCATTTTCCTTCCTTATCCTTCCTATACTTTAAAAAGCTTCCTTGAATAATAACTAGCCAAATATAAAAATGTAATAGAGACCAGAGTAAAAGCATTTTAAGTGTGTTTCTTAAAGTAACAGGTTCCTCAAGTCCCCGAGGTTAGGAACCATGTCTCATTTGTCTCCTGTGCCAGAACATTACCTTGCTTGCTGAAACAAGAATGAATGACTGGGTTTGGTTCCCAGAGTATGCCCCAGCAACTCCCAACTGCTTGGTTTCCTAGCATTACTTGTTTTTTTCTTCTTTTATTAGGAGAAACAAATTCTTCCCAGTGATAAAGAAGAGTCTTATTCCTTCAAGACCTTGCTCAAATTAACTCCCTGGTTCTGCTTTTCTGTTTTTTACCTAATTGGCTTCTTAGGGTTCACCATGTTAGAGCCTTTCCGCCAACCATGACTAAATCGGTGTTAGCTTTTTTTTTTTTGAGACAAGAGACTCACTATGTCACCCTCAGTAGAGTGCTGTGACGTCACAGCTCATAGCAACCTCAAACTCCTGGGCTTAAGTGATCCTCTTGCCTCAGCCTCTCAAGTAGTTGAGACCACAGGCACCTGCCACAGTGCCCAACTATTTTTTGTTGTGGGGGTTGTCATTGTTGTTTGGGAGGCCCAGGCCAGGTTTGAACCTGCTAGCCCCAGTGTATGTGGCTGGCGCTCTAGCTGCTGAGCTACAGGCACCAAGCCCAGTGTTGGATCTTGTGGCAGTCATGCAGATGCTCAGACAACCCTTCAGGAAGAGCCTACTGCCAACTATACACTGTCTGTAGGAGATACACTTTATACTCAAAGATACAAATAGACTGAAAGTAAAAGATGGAAAAAGATATATCACACAAACAGTAACTAAAGGGAAGAAAGAGTGGATACACTAGTAGATATAAAGGCATAATGGACTTTAAAACAATAAGCAAACAAGAGAGATTGTTACTAGCAATCAAGAGATATACTGTATAATGATAAAAGAGTTGATGCATTAGGGAAGTATAACAATTATGAATACATATGTACCTAAAAATAGGGCTCCAAAATACAAGAAACAAAACCCAAAAGAACTGAAGGTGAAAACGACAATTCAATAATAATAATTGAAAAACTATATACCACTTTCAACAATGCAAGGTACAACTAAACAGATCAACAAAAAAACAGAATACTTGAGCAACACTATTAACAAACAGAACTGACAAACATCCGTATATAATTCCATCCAAAACAGCAGGATACACATTCTTCTCAAGCATACATGAACCATCACTAAGAAAGATTGTATATTAGGCCAGAAAACAAACTTCAACAGATTTAAAAGGACTGAAATCATATAAAGTATATCTTTAATAATAATGACATTAAGTTAGAGATAAATAAGAAAATTTAATAAATTCACATGTATGTGGCAAGTAAACAATGCACTCTAACCAATGGATTAAAGAAGTAATTACAAGGGAAATGAGTAAATACTTTGAGCTAAAAGAAAACAGAAACACAAGATACCAAAATGTATGGGATACGACTAAAGTGCGCTTAGAGGAATTATCTCAAAATACTACTCTAATCTTCCAGCTTAAAACACTAAAAAGAGCAACCGAAATCTAAAGCAAATAGAAAGAATAAAACAATATTGACTAGTATGGAAATAAATGCAATGGAAAATAGAAAAACAATAGAGAAAATCAATAGAACCAAAGTTGATTCTCTGAAAAGATCGGCAAAATTGACAAATATTTAGTTAGTTTGATGAAGTAAAAAGAGAAAACTCATATTACCAAAATTAGGAATGAAAGAGGGTATCATTCCTACCATTCTTACAAAGATAAAAAAGACTAGAAGAGAAAACACCATGCCAACAAATTAGATGTCTTAGATTAAATGGACAAATTCCTACACCGACCTAAACTAGCAAAACTAATTCTGGAGGAAAAAGAAAGCCCCAAAAGACCTGTAAGTAAAAGATTGAATTAATAGTCTTAAAACTGACTACAACATGGGAAAAAAAAAACCATTTTCCACTGTTGGTGGGAATATAAACTAACACAGTCATTATGGAAAACAGTATGGAGGTTCCTTAGAAAATCAAAAATATAACCACCATCCAGTAATCCTACTTCTGAATATATATCCAAAAGAAATGAAATCAGTATCTTGAAAAGATACATAGCCCCATATTCACTGCATCATTATTCACAATAGCCAACATATGGAAACAATCTAAGTGTGCATTAACAACAGACAAATTAATAAAGAAAAAATGATGTGTATGTATATATACATATATATTTACATATGTGTGTGTGTACATACACACACACACAATGGAATATGATTTAGTCTCTAAAAAGAAAGAAATCCTGCCATTTGCAACCTAGATGAACCAGGAGGACATTATGTTAAGTTAAATAAGCCAGACACAGAAAGATAAATACCACAGTATCATACTTATAAGTGGAATCTGAAAAAGTTGAATTCATTGAAGCAGAGACAGGAAGGGTGGGTTGCGGGAGACACTATGAAAGTTTTGAGATACACAAAAATTAAGAAATGTAAACTCATTTTGATTACTGTATTTTCTCAAAATAATTGCCACGACATTCTATGCACTTTTACATTCTTGTAAACCATTTTTGAAAACACTCTTTCCACTCATTTACTCCAAGTGCTGTAAACTGTCTTTCTTGTAGGTGTGAACAGCTTCTTCAGGCCTGAAGAACCTTCTTCCACACATTTTTTACTGTAGGGAACAGGAAATAATTGCATGGGGCCAGATCAGGACTGTAGGGTGGATAAGTCATAAGTTTAACCTGTGTGGACTCCAGGAACTGAGTGGTGATGAGGGCTGCACAGGTGGATGCATTGTCATGGTGCAAGGTGGTGGCCCACAGTCCCATCCTTGGCCTCCATTCTTGAAGCTTCCAAAAAACTTCTGGTAGCATATTGTGTGTACCACTGAGCAGTAACCATATCTTTTTCCTCCAGAAGAACAGTTCCAACATGACCACTTTTGGAGAAGAAAGTTGTCACCATTTTCTTTCCAAGTGGTGGAAAGTGGCTCTGAGGCCACTTCACTTTTGTTGGTAGATTTTCACCAGGGAAAATAAATCCACACTGTCAACTGATGTTTATTCTCTGGATCAAACTGGTAAATGCAGGTTTCATTACCATTAATGATGTCAGAAATGCATCCAGGCTTGCCATTGTCGCATGTGACCAGCCCTTCTTCACACAATTCAACACAGATGCGCTTTTGCTCAGCTATCAAAGTGTGAGCTGCCCATTGGGATTAAACTTGCCCAATTCAAAGGTAGTCATGTAGGATTTTGGACACTGCTGGTGATTCAATCTGTAGTGCCTCTTCAATATCCTAAAATGTCAATTGATTTTGCACACCATTTTTCCCACAGCAGTGATGTTTTCTTCAGTCACTGAGATCACTGGATACCCACTCTCTCCTCTTCCTTCAATGAGGTTCAGTCTCTTCTCAATTCTTTAAACCACTGAAAAAATGTCATGTGGGAAGGAGTAAGGTCCCTGGAAGCCTGCTGCAAACACTCAAGGCTTTGAGACTCCTTTAACCCACTTTTTTTTCTTTTTTTTTTTTAACCCACTTTTAAAATCATAGAAAATCATCCCACAAAAGGGCTTTCTTCCCACCTCCATAGCTGCCAAAGACTGAATGCCACACACATGGAAATAAATCAAACCTTCCAAAACCACCAAGCAAGTTGAAACTTGGACAGGTAAATCAGAAACCCCACTGTGGACTGTATTTCTTGGAAGTAAAATAATGGGCCATAATACAGTCTATCTCAAAACTTTCATGGTGACCTTTGTGCTAGGGGATGAAGGTGAGGGAAATCAGGAGATGTTGGTCAAAGGGTACAGGTTTAGTTATGTAGGAAAAGTACATTCTGGAGATCTAATTTACAGTATGATGACTGTAGTTCATAATACTGTATTATATACTTAAAGTTTGTTAAGAGAGTTAGATCTTAAGTATGCTCATTCCACACAATCACACACACACAAATCATACTTAAACGAAGTGTTAGGTTAATTAGCTTGATTATGATAATCATTTCATAATATATATGTATATCAAAATATCACATTGTATACCTTAAATATATATACATATATATAAATTTTATTTGTCAAGTATACTTCAATAAAGCTGGGGGGGGAATTAAAAATAATGTAAAAAATTGAAAACTTCCCACCAAAGGAGTTCAGGACCAGAAGGTTTCACAGGTGAATTCTGCCAAACATTTAACAGGGAATTAATACCAATTTTTCACAAATTCTCCCAAGATAGAGAGCATAGGGAAATTTTTCCAACACATTCTTTTTTTTTTTTTTTGAGACAGAGCCTCAAGCTGTCCCCCTGGGCGGAGTGCCGTGGCATTACAGCTCACAGCAACCTCCAACTCCTGGGCTCAAGTGAGTCTCCTGCCTCCGCCTCCCAAGTAGCTGGGACCACAGGTGCCCGCCACAACGCCCGGCTATTTTTTGGTTGCAGCCGTCATTGTTGTTTTGGCGGGTCTGGGCTGGGGATTCGAACCCGCCACCTTAGGTGTATGTGGCTGGCGCCTTAGCCCGTTGAGCTATCGGCGCCGAGCCAACACATTCTTTAAGGCCAGTGTTACCCTGATACCAAAATAAAACAGAGACACTGCAATAAATCTATAGACCAATGTCGCTTCTGATTATAGATGCAAAATTCTTCAACAAACTGTTAGCAACCTAAGTCAAGTAATATATAATACAGATGACACAGCATGATCCAGATGGATTCTAACATCCAAAAATCAATGGATATAGTAGAACATAGCAATAGAATAAAGACCAAATACTATCTATTGTGATCATCTTAATAGATGTCCATAATGCATTTGACAAAGGTCAGCACCCTTTCATGGAGGAGCTGGAGAAAAAGAGAAGAAAGATGAGGAGTGGTGGGGAGGGGAAGAAGGGAAAGAGCCATTGCCTGCCATGAGGAGTACAACTCAAAACAGCCCCAGGATCTGTAGTGTCTCATCAAGGTCATGCTCTTCCTTGGCAGCTCCAGACAATGACTAAGCATGTCAGGGTACTAGGGCCTTGCCATTTCTGCCCCTCATGGGACTCCTACTTTGCTCTGGAGTTCCCTTTTGGGCTGGCCAAGACTTTCTCAGAGCTGCACTACAGTTTGAGGCTCTTTCTGCCCAATATTTCCCCCCTCTTCCCACATCACAAGTGTCAGATCTGCATCACTGTCTGAAGTATCTTTCTCTCCTTAATCTTTCATAGGCCATGCATCCCAATAAATCCCTCTCTCTTCCAATTCCATCTTGGCATGTGCTTTCCAAACTGATACAGGCTCTCAGACTCACTTCAGGGACAGGCATGTGTCATTACCTCTGGGCCAAAGACAGTCATCACTCATGGTCTATAGAAGCAGCCAGAGAAGTTTCCTGGAAGTGGGAGGGGAGGATATCCTGAGCATTCTGGGTCAGTCTTTTTGTCACCAAGTGCAGATGAACTGATGTAGCCCCTGCCCCAAAGGGCCTCTCAGTTTAATGGGAGAGATAGGATGTCAACAAATATCTTATGTGTGGGGAGTGCTAGAATGAAGTGAACGCAGAGTAACACAGGAGCACAGGGAAGGGAATGCCAGTCTGGAGAAGTTAAGGAAGGCTTCACTAACTGTTGAGGAAGGTCTTGAAGGAGGAAGAGCTCTCCTGGAAGGTGAGTTAGGGATGTCCATACAGATAGACAGCATGTACCAAAACACAGAAATGGGAGTGGCCATGGTGTGGCCAGTGAGAGGCGCCAGGTAGTTACCTACTGGGACCTCACGGAATCTTACCTTTACACAGAACCAGATGGAAAAAGGGAAGGTCATAATGATGAAGAGCAGGGAAGTGAGGACAAGAAGCCACTCACAGGCTCCTAAACCAGAGGTCTTGATGCCTTAATAAAAAAAAAGCAGAATAATAATTATGTTAAAACCACCATATTCATTGACTTGCATTTGTTGGTTCAGTTCTTGGTACTGGGGTCAGAGCAGCTTGGAGATCTTCCTAGAAATATTAGAATGAGCCAGGTATCGGAGTAGTCAGCATTCCCAGGGCCTAGGATGCTGTCTGTGAGGGCCTATGGAAGGTGGAGCAGGCTTGTGGAAAGCACAGAACATTGGAACAGCACAGAATCTGGGGAGAAGGTCTGGGTTCCTGTTCTGGCTCCACCATTTCATTCCATATGAGCTTAAGCAAGGCACATGATCTTTTCATATCATCAGTTTCATCATCTATACAATGGGGATGCCAATTTCTCATAACCATCTCATAATAACTGGCTCATGAGTTATATCTCCTATCTCTGGCATAAAGATAAAATGACATACACACATAAAACACTCAACTGTGCTTTATCTATAACAAGTTTGTTTGGTATTTGAAGTGCTTTGAACTATATGTGTCCAGGGGCTCATCTTCTATGAAATAACTTCCTCTTCAGTACCTGCCCTAATTATCTGAAATTACTCCATTACAGGCTCTCCCTTTAGATTAAGGTCGTGAGCTCCAATCTTTTGAAAATCACCTATATGGGGTAATATTAGCCTACTGACATCTGTGAAAAGATTATAAGGAACTGGGGTGCAGAATATCTAGGACACTTGAGTGATAAACGACATGGTATCAGGGAAAGTCAGCCTCAAGAACACAAGCTTCTTGGGGACTCATCTTGTTGACACTGTGTCCCCAAGGCTTAGAATAGTGCCTAACACAATGTAGGTGCTCAATAAATCTTTATTGAATGTAGAAAGAAAGTAGAAGTGGATAGTGAAAATGACTTAAGTATAATTGTTATGGAAATCTCAAGAATTTTAATCTTTAATTACTAGAAAAATGGCCAAAAGTATACTCTTTGCCAGTTTAAAAAATCTCAGAGAGGACTGGCGGGTGACTAAAGATTAGGAAATGGTAAAAGGCCTATTTTTAAAGGATGAGAAGGAAAAAAATAATTAATTGGTAAGCCTAAAAATTTGATTTTCATATTTGGAAAGGTCATCACCACCAAACTGAAATGCAGATCATTTGAAGATGACAGATATGTAACTGCACTGGCACAAAAACCAAATCACCACCACTAAATGCCATCATTTGGCAGTTCCCAAAGGCTGTCCTACAAAGGAAAAGGTTCCTGAGAATCTCTGAAGTAAAGTTTGACCAGGTAGTACTTTCTCCAAAGAACACTCATTCACATTCTATGGAACTTATTCTCATGGAAACTACTTGGAGAAATGCTGCTGTACCAACAGCCTATTAATTTTTATAATCTGCAAGACACTAACAGTATCATTGCCATTTTAATTAGTTTACAAATGTATTTCAGTTACCAGTGGCAGCTGTGGCAAGTAAAAATAAATGTACATACATTTTACAAGTGAAGAAAGGCCTCAAAAGTCCTTCATATAGTAGTTAGAGTTGTCAACAGAAAACCAATTTCTAAGATTGGCCACGGTGGCTCACACCTATAACCCTAGCACGCTGGGAGGCTGAGGCAGGCATCCCACTTGAGCTCCTGAGTTTGAGACCAGCCCGAGCAAGTGCTAGACCCTGGTCTCTAAGAATAGCCAGGTGTTGTGGTGTGCCTGTAGTCCCAGCTACTCAGGAGGCTGAGGCAAGAGGATCACTTGAGCTCAGGAGTTTGAGGTTGCTGTGAGCAATAACAGCATGGCACTCGACCTCAGGGTAACTGATTAGACTTTGTCTCAAAAAAAAAAATTTTTTTTTCATACTTAAGTTATTTTCACTATCCACTTCTACTTTCGTCCTATGTTGATTTCTATACACAAACCCAACTCAACACTTTACCCACAAAATATTATTCTCTTGGAATAAACTCTTTTAATACCTAATTTGTTTGGTTTAAGTGAATAATCAGACTATCTAACTCTGGAATTCTGGCTTTCCACTTCCCAGATATAGGACTTGGGAAAGTTACTTAACTTTTCAGAGGCTGTTTCAACCTCTGTAATGAGATTAGATAACTCAGTAAAACACCCAGTGTGCACCTATCAGGGATTCCGTAAATGGTTCCCTTCCTTGCCAACCGTGCCATTGTGAACTGCCACACAACAGCTATAAGCCCTCTGACTTCAATATTGCATTGAACACAACTCTTTAACGACTAGAAGTTTCTCACTGATGAAAGGGCATCAGTTGGGCAAAACAGCACTAGTTTGGTCTGTTTAAACTACATCCCAACCGCAGAAATCTTTCTCTAATTGTAGCTTTCAGTGATCCAGCATGTACTGCATTACTGGTAACCAGGAAATGTCAAAACTTTGTAGCTAGCACTCACCACTACCCTCTGAGACAGCTATTATTATCTGACAGTTAAGGTCCTTCCTATGATCGCATGGCTAGCAACTAGTTAAGCTGAGATTTAAACTCAGCTTAAACAAATCAATAACACTATTTTTACTTTCTTTTAAACATCTGTCATCCTACTACTTAAATCCCATCCATGGCTGGCCCCTGAGACCAAAGCTATTTAGTAATGTTACTTGTACTTCTTCTGATGTACTTTGTTCTTGTAAAGAGGACTGGAGGTAAATTGTTCCTAAGAGTTGCTTCACCTACAGAAACAAAGGAGACACCCTTCTTTGTATTCCCTCCTTTTGGCTTGCAAGGATTCTGCTAAATGGAGCAAGTTTTTTGCTACAGGCATTGTAAAAAGTGTTTGGGGTGCCTTTTCTAGTTTTATACTCACCACTACCCTCTGAGACAGCTACTGTTATCTGATAGTTAAGGTCCTTCCTATGATCTCATGGCAACTAGTTAAGCTGCGATTTAAACTCAGGTTTGCTCTTCTCATCTTGGTTCTTCTGTATCTGTCTTTTTCTTTCTTTACAGAAATAATGATCATCATCTCCAAAGAAGCTTAAAATGTAAATTAGGTAAGACTGAGGGGTGGGGAAGAAGGGAAAAGAACAAGCCACACAATTGCCTGGAGCCACCAGCTCATGCATGTCTTAACTTAAATTAGGCACCCATACGCCCTTCTAGGGCCTCAAAAATCAACTTCATAGTTTTTTCACTATGTTGACTGGTCCCCAAAGTGTGCCACGTTCTGTCATGGCTGGCCCCCCCAGACCAAAGGGTTTTTTTTTTTTTTGAGACACAGCCCTCAAGGTTTCCCCCTGGGTAGAGTGCTGTGGCATCACAGCTCATAGCAACCTCCAACTCCTGGGCTCAAGCGATTCTCCTGCCTCCGCCTCCCAAGTAGCTGGG